GGCGCGCGCCACGCGCTTTCGTGGCTTGGCGCCTAAGGTCGGTCCCGCCCGACTAGCGCCTCCCGGGAGCCCGGCGCCTGGCCGAGGATGGAGGAGGAAAAACCGAATAGGAAGGAAGATGAAGGAAAAAGACAGCTATACTGGGGTGGGGGCGTTGGGGCGGGGCCCCGGGAGGAAAAAGGGGAGGTGGGCACGCCGGTGAGGAAGCATAGAGAGAGTGGGGGGGTGAGAGAATGAGAGAGAGACAGAGACAGAGACAGAGAGAGACAGAGAGAGACAGAGAGAGAAACTAGTGTAAGGGGGAAAGAAAAAGTCCGAAATAAGCATCCAACTTCAGAGCACACCTCCGTGACCCCCTGCTGCATATAGTGTTAGTGACACTCAGTTAAGTGGAACCTGAGCCACCCAGCCTCAAATACACTGGTTCTGAACTGTTGAGAGTGTGAGCAAGCAGGTGCTCCGTGGAGCTGCACACCTGAGACAGCCCCTGCAAACACTGTACAAAGCAGTCCGGGAAATGGCCACCCTGCGGTGTCTTTAATGCCAACCCAAGCAGACCACGGTGACATTATGGTTAAAAAGAATTAACTACTTTCCCCTTTTCTATTCGATAAATATTAAAGTCCAATTAAATCTTTATATCTTATACTTACCCCATCTTCTAGCAATGAAAACGTTTAAAAGCAATAAGTAAATTAATTAATTAATTAATTAATTAATTAATTAAATAAACCCTCACTGATTCAAAGATGTTGGTTGTGCTTTGAGACTTGCAGCCTTGGTCTTTCCGGGGTTTGGGGTTTCAGGCTTGGAAACAAAGGAAATCAAAATATATCTGTAATGTACATATCTTAGAGATAAATATGTTGGCCAGGTGGTAGACTTACCACCAGTTGAAAGATTTTGTTCAAGTGTGTAATGAGAGAGTTCTTAATATTCTTTTTAATTTTTTTCTTAATTAAAAATGTTTGAATGAAGGAGGAGGTGTAGAATTGAGTCAGTCCCATTCCAGGCACCTACAAGGGAACTTCAAAATGATAATAAATCAGATGTCAAAAATATGAACCTGATAAAAAGTAAGTGATTCCATTGTGTCTACATCATGCCAAAATATCTTTACAAAGTCAGGCGCCTGTCTCTCTGTATGTAAACAGTAGAAGATTGATTTTGGCACCTTTGATCTAAATGTGTGGGACCTTACAAACAGTCGAGGGCTGTTCATTCCAGTAAGGGAAAAAAAGAAGAGAGAGATGTTTATTCATTTGCTAAATTTTGAGTCTCTGTGCCATACTCTGTGCGTTTAAAATCTAGGGCATGCATAGGAAATATGTATGCTTTTCACTCTTAAGTTTACAAAGTAAATCAGGTCTGTATATATGAGCAGAAAAATTGCAAATATTTATTAACACTTTTTGGTGCCAGTATCAAATCTATCTTAACACAATGATTCTAGAAAGTAGTGTATTGTCTAAATTGATCTTCACAGGAAAACTGTAAGAATGCTCACCTAAACTTCATAAATAGGTTGCCCAACATTACACGCTGAGAAAGCCACTCAGTCAGTATTTGAATGCAGGCATGTCCCATTCTAACACCGATGCCATAGGGCTGGAAGTGTAGGTGAGTAGTAGAGTGCTTGCCTAGCATGTGTAAGGCCCTGGCTTTGATCCCCAGTATCACTAAATTAATAAACAAACCACAAACTATTCTGTTATGCTACAGCGCTCTCAATCACAACATATGATAATAAGATTAGCAAGAGAAGAGACATAGTGGAATAGAATCAAAGTTACACAAAAAGAACTTACTTTTTTATGGAAAGATTGAAAAATACTGAAACATTACCAAGGAAGGATTTCCTTTAAGAAAATATATTGTATGAAATAGATCAAATGGGAAGGTTAAATGAAGTTTAAAGGCACACACACCACACATACACACAAAGATTTAAGACGGGCATAGTGGCACATTCCTGTAATTCTAGTGTCACAAGTTCAAGACCAATTTGTGCTACATAGCAAGACCCTATGTTAAAGAATGAGATGAAGAGGAAGAGGAGGAGGAGAAGGGAGAAAAGGAAGAAGATTCTTTAACTGGTTTATGACAAATGAAGGAAAAAACTATTGTCAACTACTATTGGAGTAAAAAAAAAATGCAACAACTTTGCCATGCTGCAAAAAAGAAAGCAAATTGCTTTTAAAATTTTGAAAGGACCATATTAATTGATAATTGTGTTTTGTTTTGTCTTGTACTTTATCCTTATCCTACCTATCACTTTTGAAATTGGATCAACATACATTGTGTACATGTACCAAGTTATAATACTGTATCCCTTAAATAAATACCAATATTATACATTCATTAAATATAAGTAACTTTAAAAAGAAAGAAAAATCCTGAGGGACATCTAGGTACATATGACAGAATGCATAAAATCTGATGGGGGGCTATGGGGGTGTGGATAGGGGAGGGGTCTGAACATTTTTAAGATCTATTGTATGAAATGCATGAAAATGCAGTAAAAATATACATAAAAGAAAAAGAATGGTGTGAGATGATGAATATGTTACCTACCATGGTGATCATTTCAGAATAAATACACATATTAGGAGATATCAAGTTGAAAATTTGAAATAAATCCACTTTAGTTGTCCATTATACCTCAATAAAGCTGGGAAAAAGAAACTGGATCAAGTACAATATTATACAATAGATATTGATTTACTCCCCACTCACTAAAAAGAGATCACTTCTAGAGTAAAAACCCAAAACCCTTTAGCAACATCACACAACAGTTAAGCACAGGAAAGAAAATAGCATGTCATGGGTAACTGCTTGTGCTAGGGGAATTTAAGAAAGAAGAATATAATCTCCTGATTTAGAATTTGGCCAGTAGACAAGAGTCGAATGCCCCTACTCTTGTGAAAAGAGCAAGGAATCTTTAATAGGCACCAGTAGTCAGGTCCTTAGTTCTGCATTTCAGTGGCTTTCTTGCCAGGTTAAGGGATGGATGCAATGGAAACCTAACTACAAGGACACTCCAGCTGAATTACAAAAATAGCTATTCCCTGAGGATTTTTAATTCCGACTCCAAATGTTACTATCATAAGGAAAATAGACAAGCGCAAATAGACAAACTTTTCTGTTATTGTAGAAAACACATATGGAGTCTTTTGTTGTATTGGTCGGCTAGAAGGAGGAGAAATAAATAGTAAATTTCTATGTGTCAGTTTCTCCTAATTTAGCTCATCATGTGTACTAAGCCTAAGCTTCAACATGCTTTATAAATCTATTGGCAAGTACTGGTGGTGATGATGGTGGTGATGGTGGCAATAATATGTCTTTTTAGCCTTTGAGGAAATACCTCTCCTGGCTTTGTTTTCTTGCAGTCGTCAGCATAGGAGCAAATATATAAGGAGACTGATACAGGTATAGATGTGGATATCATTCAAACATAAATGAAATCTATGAAATAAGTTCTGTGGAAAATATTTTGTAATATCTATATACAAATTGCATTCTGGATAGGAAACTGACCTTGCTCAGGATTCTCTTGACTCTATGTACAAAGGTCAATGTAAGATAAAGCACATTTGTTTCTACCCTCTGCTGGTTCTGGAGTATAGTGATAATAACCCTCAGAGGAAACCTTGGGGTATCTTCTGCTCTTTATAACTGACTGTCAAGCTGGGAGCTAAAGATTCCATATTTCATATATATAGATATAGTTTATGTATAACTATGTATGCATATCTATTACTAAATAGACCATAGTCTGTATCCACACAGCACATTTGAACTGTAATCCTCTGTGCTTCTGCATCTACCTCTAAATTTTTAGTAACAAACTTTCAAATGCTTTAACAACAGTGGCAAAACTACTCAGAGGATATGCCCATCATTTATTGTGTGGTAAAACTAGAAAGTGAATTAAACCCAATGGTTACTGATTAGTTTTTCATTGCCTCAATTTATTATGTCTACAAGTATGATTTTTTTCATTTCAGAAGACAAGAATAACTGTAATTTGATGAGATAGTGAACTTGTTAACATTGAAAAATTATTTTCTTACGTTGATTAGTTTGTGGTAAGATGAGAAACATTCACATTGTTGAATTAAAAACAAAACATTATTTATGCCCAAACAAGTGTTATTTTTATCCTCTGTCAAACTTTCTCAACTGTCATCCTTGAACAACTGCAGAATGTCATATTCTTAGCTACCACTTTGATCTACCCTTGTACACATATAACTTGTGGTTGTGGTGTTAGGTCCCCTTTTTATGTTTAGTAAGTACATAAGTAAATACTGAATTCCTTGACCTGTTTTTCAATTCTAATTGACAAATATGTTTTTGTTTCCCTGATTATAAAACAGAATCCTGCTTCCCAAGTCTTTGTTTTATCTAACAAATACATTTCTGAGTAGAAACACCAAGATCTACCTTGAACTGTTTCTCTAGTTATTGAATTTACATTTTCTATAGTCAACTGGAGTACAAACTAATTGAATGTTGTGCTACCTATTTCCTTGAGACAGTTACATAAACTCTCTAATGAGATTTAGATGTGCTAATATGAACACTGAGCATGGAACAAATAACAGCTAGCAAGTTGTAGATTAGAAAGGAAAACTTTGCAGGGAGCAGATGGTGAAGATGTAGTATACAGAAGCTGTGAGAAACAAGAACATGAAGGCATCAAATATGGCTTGGACAATCTTGGTTTGATTGTTTTTCTCTCTTAAGGGATGTATCTATATATCTATTGAGGTGTAAAAATGTGTGTATCACAATAACCTGCCTCCAAATCTAAT